AAATCTTAATTATCTACCACTACCATTTTTAAAGGTAAAAGAGATGATTGACATTAAGTTGTAAGTTTGATAGCAGCTAAATAAATAATGTAAGAAAATGTTATTTATGACTAAAAAATATTGTAACTATATCTTTTAAATTGTTTGCCAAATACAAACTTAAGCAATTTTGAATTCAGTAATTACATATTGTACGTACATGTAGATCTTCATGTACTGTAATATTAAATGTGAGACACGTAGATAGTTTACATGAATTATTATATGTACTACATTCTATTTCTAATCAAGAATAGAAAATGATTGTAATCGATGGAAGAAAAGTCACATTTATCCTAATTAAGATTACCTTCCAATTAGAATTTATATATTGTTACGATACAAGCTAAAGTTAACTATCAATGAGGTTAAACAAATAAATCATATTTAAAAGAATTATAAGGGTGAAGAAATGAGATACGTCTATGTACATGATGTAAGAAAAACTTGCTACAACGGTATCACCGTATGTCACAAAAAAGTGCCCTTCTATTGCACCCCTCCATTTTCAGATCCTAGCTGGAACACTGTCTATACAGTACCTTTTCCAGCAAAAGTTCCAGTGTGGCTTCATTGCTGGCTTTGGTTGATATTCATTGAATCTTCTTTGTATTTGAAAATCTGGATAAAAAATTGAAGTCATAGGAATCATTTTCCTTTAAGTACCGTATATACTCGCCTATAAGTCGTTTTTTTGAGAGTCAGATCTCTGGTCCAAAACTGTGTCCGACTTATAGGCGAGCTATTAAAATAATGGTATTATATGAGGTCAGTCCATCTGAAATATAAGCTTATTAAGTACAACCGACTTATAGGCGGACCGACTTATAGGCGAGTATATAAGGTACATGTATAAGAAGTTCCCTATGTTTTGAATAAATTCTAAGGTTGCAAGCCTTTCTTCTGGTCTATTTAAGAAATAAGGTATCATTTTTTAGCATCTATCGGGATATAAATACGGGTTGGTCACGAGATTAAATTCCATAAAGCCCGAAGGGCTTTATGATGAATTTAATTTCGTACCAACCCGTATTTATAGCCCGATAGATGTTTAAAAATGATACCTTAGGCCATATAAAATTGAAATCCTGGTTCTCAGGCCCGCGCGCATCCGTTTTGAGGTAGCCGCATTGCCGATTTTATTGTATTTTTGATAAAATAAAAAGTTGGTATTGCGGAGACCAATCCGGAAAAAAATTTCCGACCTCATTTGTTTTGTAGTTTAGTATTCAAATACCACTTCCGGTAGTCATTTGCAATGAGATTTTGGCAACTTCGTTTGAAAATACATTCGAGGACATTTATCTACGATGTTTACATGCTGTTAAGCAATGGATAAAGCAGAAATTTTGACCAGAAATGGAAAGTATATCTGTGATTAAAAAAATTATCTTTATGTTAAAGAAAATTCGAAAATTAAAATTTAAAAAAATACCTCCCTCATCTACTTTATTGCCAATAAAATGATAAATAAAATGCCGCCCTCCCGCATCTGTTTTGGAGAAAACTGGCCTGAGAACCAGAGAATTAAATTTAGATAGCCTTATTACTTATATTTACATTTGTGACTTATTCATACTTTATAGTTGCCTGATTGTGACTTTTAACGTGTGAAATGCATTATTTTTCAAAACCAACGGCATGTATAAAATCCACTGATTGCGCGACGACCCTTTATGACATCACTGAGAAATTACGTCAAACGACTATCCATACGCACATCTATAACCTCTTGACCCCATACCTGTATTTATACAGTTATAGATACTCATTACTTTCAGTAGTGTTATATAGAGGAAAACATTTGCAAATGTAAATATTTTGACTTACATTCATTTTCAGAAGGTTAACCAGGGTGAAGTTTTTATCTCTGGCCATGGATTTCTGGATCAGCCTCTCAATCAGCTGCCAATGACGGGCCTTCAGTGACGGGTTCCTGAGAGACGTGATTACTGGCATGCCATGTTTAAACTCTGTTACTTTTTCCTTCAGAATGGGCAGGACCTCATTAGAGGGTAAACCTAACACAGAAATCAGAATACAATGCCATTTTAGATAAATAATCAGTGGGTTCTTTGTTAAGACAGAGTTTCCAATTTCTGACAATCCAATTATTTGGTTCAAAGCAATAACCCGCTATACGGTAAAAAAAAAAATTGCTCTGGTACTTGTAAAAAAAAAATTGCTCTTTTTTTTTTTTTTTTATAAAATTAACATCATAATTTTCATAAGTTTCATAATATGAACAAAATTATTATAATTTAGAACATAATCTTAGAAATGGGAATAATAATGTCCACAAAACTCAAAATGTAATCATAAAAACAAATTTTAAAAAATGTATTCACCTTTTTCCAACATATAAACTGTCTGGGTGACTCTATTAACATTTATGTGTAGTAGCTCCACTTGTAGAGAATCAAATGGTGTGGCTGTCCCATTCCTCCTGGAATTGCTATAGCAACTGTCTAGAGGTCAGGTCACGTTTAATGTCAGAAAGGTCAGCCTGAATCTCAGTGGCACTTTGACTGTCATAGTGATCCATTAACATATACTCCCTAGAAAAAAAATTCAATATTTTACATGTATACTGAAGAGTTATAATGAAGGGAAAGTAATTTCTTAATTGACATGAATTGTTTACATCCACTAATTCTTTTTTAATATGAAATTTTTAAAAGCATATAAATAATTATTATTGGTAATATATGTTCTAGTTTTTTAACACCAAAATTATGCATGTATACATGTAATGAATACACTGAAGAAAATGTAAGTTTACAATAAAAGTAAGAATAACATTTTAAAACATGACATAAATAATAAATATTAAAACTAACAAACGCAAGAACTGATGATGAAACAATGCACAAATTTACCATACTTCACGTCTAGAATCAGAAAAATAATTTTGATATTTGCAACAAAGGATCCAATGAAATCTTTGAGTATGCACTGAAAATTGTTTGATTTATGAGATAATCTATCTTTGAAAAAACTGCAGTCAAATTGTTGCAAAAAGGTAGATGTACAACCAAAACCATACTTACTCTCCATACATGCCCCTCTTGGAGTCTTACAGTGAGCTTCCGAATCCCTCTTGATAGCTTGCATAGCTCCTCGCTTTTGTTTACTGAGAGCTCACCTCGCTCTGAATCGAGTCGAGCTTACTCAGAGCAGCCACTACTATATGTCAGTACTGAGGAGATCTGGGTCAAGTACTCGGTTTTTGACCTGCCCTCCCGCCATCAGTTTGGTACGAATCTTATAGATGAGAGTGTCCAAGTCCTGGCTAAATTTACAGATTTTTTTATCTTTCTTGGCTTCTCCTACCAGAATGGCATTCTACAAAATTTTTATATTTGGGATTAGTACTACTTGCACAGTATCGTGCCCCAAAAAGCAATGCGTCTTTTAGCATACAAAATATACAGTAAAACTTTTTTAGTACAAACGCGGACATTGTGAATTCACCTTAGTTATCTTGGATCCCCAGCTAAATAAATTTAATGAATTCCTTATTTGGATGTAACGCACACAGGCACTTGTTTCTGTTATAAATTTTTGACCCATAGTATAATAATAACACAAGGTATCTAACTCGGATTTACAACAAGTATCCACCTCCCTTAGAATTGCGCTCATTTACACTTTCAGAGGAAATGCATGGGTAAACTGTTTTTACCTATGTCTTCTATGATAATTTATCTACACATTATCAGTTTCAAGACTCTGCTCACCGAGTGGAAAGTGAAACTCAGCCATAGAATGGTATGTTCTAGTCTCAGGCAAAGAATTAGACCTCGAATTTGATTGGCTAAAAATCTGTTTCCAAATTGCATCGGAAAAACATTGTAGTGTTTTTATGGAAAATAGGACACTATGAAATTTTGTTTATTCAATGCAATATTTAAAATCTGGGATTGAATTTTTAAACCCAGGCATTCTTTAATTTTTCTCTTTGCCACGAGATTAGCACATACCGTTTTATGGTTTAGTTCGACTTTTCTACTCGACGAGTAGAGATTTGACGCTGTTTATGGAGATTAAAGAAAACAAAGACAAGCAAGTCATATACGGTTGTGTAGATAAATTATCGTAGATGACACAGGTATTCAACAGTTTGCCACTGCCTTTTCTCTGAAAGTGTAAATGAGCGCGATTCTAAGGGAGGGGGGTACTCCGTGCAATTTGGAGTTAGATACCTTGTGTTATTATTATACTATAGGTTAAAATTTATTCCTGAAACAAGTGCCTGTGATAATGAATTACGGATATAGCGAAGTAATTTCAGAGGTTCCGGCGACTTTGTTATAGCCAAGTTTTACTGTACTTGTTTACAGATTTCAATCATACACCATTTTCGTCAAGAATAAAAAAAATGACAAATTGATTCTTTCTTTCAACAAAGATATTGTTCACAACATCTAATTTTAATAAAAACATTATTGGATACTTGATGAGTATTTTTCATTTTTTCCCCATCACCAATCAGTTTATATAATTGGCTTTTCCGGACAGAAAGCAAGTCTAACTCTCTTACTTTCAGCCCCGGAAACTTGGACCCAGTGTCTGGTGTAAGGCCAGGTCTTCTGGTTCAATCTTTACAAAGAAATCCTTGGCAATGGTGAACAACTTTTTTCACAATCAGGAACTCCTTATCAAGAGCTGTGATTTCAGACATCATCTTAGACAGGAAAGACAAATGTTCCACAAATTCTTCCACAGATTTAGAATAGTCCTCCAGTTTTTTTTGCTGCACCCTGATAAAAGACATTTCCAAATAATTTAAAAACACTAAATTTCATGTTTTTTTGTGGAGGGGGGGATATTTCCAAATCCTTACCAAATAAAGAATTTCTGAAATTTAGTTGCAAATTCAATCAAATTCTTTTTAAAAATCTAAGAATTGTTTCCTTTTCCTCATTGAATACCTTGATAATAGTAAGCAGATCTTCGTTTCATTTGATGGCTATAATGGGCAGCTTATGGTGGGTCTTGTTGATGATCTCCTGGGGGTAGGGGAGACAGGAGTCCCTGAAGCTAGAGCTTATCACCAGAACCATCGCACATCTCCTCTTCACAGTCATCTTCCGCATCTCCTTTACCTACAGACGTTAAAAGAAAGCTGTTACTTCTACAAATTTAGACTTAAGATTTGAAAAAAAAGTGCTTCTGCCCAAAAAATGCAAAATACAAGGGCACCGCTGAGCGGAGCATCCCCTCGCCTAATGGCAACATCTCACAAGAGATAAATTCTCCAGAGGGACGTTAAACATGTTAAAGATTGATAGTACAATGTATTTTGTTTATTGTCCCTCTCAGGAATTTTTTGCTCATATGAAGGCTTGCCGGTGGAGAGCTGCACATTCTTTCCTATAATAGGGACTTACGACCATTGAGCAGTGAGGGATCTTTTTGTGCCAGCATTTGTTGGGACATGGGCCTTTAGTTACACGGATTTATTCGAAGGACCAGTCTCCATGTCCCACGAAGGGATTCAAACCCACAACATTAGGACCAACTCCCCTACTTTTGACAAAATTATTAGTGGGTGTGTTGTTGTTGATCCATTTTTACAAAATGCAAAGTGGTTAAGGGGGGAGGGGGGGGGAGCCATAACATAGATACTTTTAAGCTTTCAAACTGGTTCTTAAATTGGTTCCCTTGCAGAAATGATTATTGTCAACTCGTACATAAAATGTCAGGGTTTCGAGACAGTGAAACGCGATATCTGAAGAAATAATTTAACAATGAACTTGAAAATGAATAGGCTTCATCTTTTTATATTTTCACACAAGTTTGTAAACGCTGAGCGTGGTTAATGCAAAGGTTTTCTGTTAATCTTGCCCACAAAGTGTAACGAACACACTAACACACACACACACACATACGCACATTTGCGATGCTATATCCCCTCCGCAACTATTTGCATGAGGGGATAATATCATTCTATGACTGAGATTACCAGCTTAGCAACAAAACATAAAATTATTAATGCATCATAATTCTGAAAATATTTTAAAAATTCTTCTCATGATAAACAGATATTATGCAGAAAGCAGGTCTGACCATTTCTGTGAAGGTTGGTAGAACATGATTGAATTCTTCTGTGGACCACTCATGTCTGGCCATGGATTCATCAATGTCCAAGGCTTTACTCTTGTCCACCACTTCACAGTACTGATCAAAGTTCTGTTGGAGGAAATCATATATTGACATAAAATTATCTAAGGATACATGTAGATAAAGAATATAAATTTGAAACAATGTATTTTTCAAAATCTGCATAACATGTTCCATCAATGTTATATTAATTTTGAAATGATTAAACCTTATTCTCAAGTCAATCTTAATAAAACCACATTCCAGTCATTTTGTATATCAAACTTACATGAGAGAACTGTTTAACTTGCTCCAGCTGCATTGCCATGTATGAGCCAAGGTCAGTCAGATATTTTTGGTATTCTGGGTCATCACCAAACAGATTTTCAAGGTCAGGCCAAGGTCGCTGGTATTCCATTCGGTCTTTTTCTTCTTCCTGGTCAAATTTCAATCTAAGGTCATGGGAAGGTGGGGAATAAATTTTGGCTCTCTTAACTTGGACACAACTTGATCTAAAATGAAAGGAATAATATTGGCTCATCATGTATAGAAAAGGAAAAAATTGGTTTTCTTGGTGTCTTTGAGATAAATATTAAACTTTTAGTATTTTATCGAGGTTATGAATTTGTAGGCCCATTTATACCCCCCCCCCAACTCAAAAAGTGATTTCACAGTAACTGCAGTACTTGGACACAACTTTTATAAAAAATTGGTTTTCTTGGTGTCTCATAAATATTAAACTTTTAGTATTTTATCAAGGTTATATTTGTAGGTTCCACATTTACAAAGGCATGCAGTATTTATAAAGGCAACTTTCCTTGAGGAAGTAAATTTACATTGAGTATAACTATTACAGGCCGCTGTTTACCTTTTCTCCTGCTCTGGGTAGGCGTACTCCTCACCAGGAGTTCTGTCCTCATCCTCTGACTCCTCAGTCTCAGAGCTGTCCCTCCTGTGGTCCTGCTCCTCACCCGAGTCCTCAGAATCACTCTCCTCAGACTCTGACTCTACAAAGTCAAACTTTACTGGATAAAATCACAATTAAGTCTTGAACATGGATATCTCAGTACTATGGATAGGTTAAAGGAGTTAAATACCCAACAAATTTTTCGATAGGTATTTCAACCTTGATAGCTTGAGTCCTGGCATATATTGAAGTTTTTGTCTTGACCCCATTAAGTTTGGTTTGAGATAACAAGAATTGCCTGCATTTTGCAAGTTACCCTTAAATTGTTCATAAATTGCTTAAAATCCTAGTTTCCTTGTAATATTTAAAGGATACATTTTCAAGACATTAATAAAATGTTTTCTGAAACTGAAACTCAGAAAAATATTTCCATTCTAACCTGAAGTCTCATGAATATCTTGAAACTGGACAGTTTTTCTAGTGGAAGCAGAGTCTGTTAACTTGTCTGGAGAGTAGGACTTTCCTTGTCTGTGTTTCTTTCTCTCCTCTTTCTGGGGTTTTTCGTCCCCGGGACATTTAGCACCGCTGTATGCTACAGACTGAGGCTATTATTTCCTCTACCACGTCCTTCTGTCTGATTTCCTCCGACAACTGTTAGAGAAATGGGTGTCATCATGAAATAATTAAGCGATTGAAAGGAAATTGACACTTTACTTCTAGATTTAAGGACCCTCCCCCTTTACTTTTGTTTTGATATCACTTGACTAAGCAAACATTCCAAAACATTTTAACAACTATTCACAATTCCATAAATTATATTCTAGTATTTCATTCTCTCATTCACTAACACGGAATTTATTTTAAACATTGCAAGGACTAAATTAAATAATCAACCCATTAAAAATGATACAACCATTTACCATAGATAATGATTTGTTTAATCTTTACATCTGCATGAGCATTAAAGGCCAAATATGATTGAGATATAACACTGAATGTTATAATTACAAAATAAAGCTTACCTCATCTACATCCGGTGGTCCCTCTACAATTTCTGATTGATCAAAGTCAAAATACGGGATCTTGTAGGGGGTGTCTGCCTTGGGTGGGGGCGGGACCTTAGGTTTACTGCTGGTTTGACTGTGACTTGCCGCAGTCATATGCCTGAAAAGAATATTTCTTACAATTAAAGCAAATTTCTATTGTGACCTCTTTTTCAATTTTCTCCCAAAACATCTCAAATTTTGGTTAGGGTAATAATCTGACTTGTCCTCATTATTTTTCAAGTGGTGGTATCTCCATTTGAATGAAAAATTTCTGGGAGGAAGTTTAACAACAAACAAACAAATGACATAACAAGAGGCCCAAGGGCCTTGAATCGCTCTTCTGATAAATTGTACAATCTATCACTTCTATTAGAAGCCTCCAACTCTATTAGTATCATAAGACCCGAAATGCATTAACTTACAAAGTTTGATAATATTTAGCCAGTTAAGACTGAAGATATTATAATATAATTATAAAATACCATAAGTAGGTCACAGTGACCTACCTTTTGATTGAAATTTTCTGAGAACTCAAGATACAGTAATTGACAAAGACTGATGATTCTAATTAAATAAGTACCTGAGATATTCAAAAGTAGGTCACCATGACCTACTTTTTGGTCAACATTCTCTGAAAAACCAAGATGCATCATCTGACAAAGTTTGACGATTCTAAGCCAATTAGTACCAGAGATAATTAAATATAGCCATCAAATGTCAAAAGTAGGTCAGTGACCTACTTTTTGGTCTACATTATCCAAAACCCAAGATGCCTAAACTGACAAAATTTGATGATTCTAAGCCAATAAGTACCTGAGATATTCAAAAGTAGGTCACTGTGGCATTCAATGAAACCCTAAGATGCCTCACGCAGCTATGATAAGGCTGCCCGTAAAGTATCGAACTGTTCAAACTGTAGTAACTTCTCTGAACTACCTAGATATGACGTCATAATAGAATATGACGTCAAGTCACTGCATACTTGAGCTACAATAACGGGGAAAGTGTCATAATTTTTATATAGCATGTAGATTTATTTTTGGGACTTATTGTTTAATTCAAGTGTTAGGATTGATTTTTAAGCTCGAGTGTGCGGATATGATGTTGAATATATGAAATCTAAATATGCCTATTCCTTTTGCTTGTCTGATATGCACATAATTAATTAATAGCGAAAAATTATGTGTGAAATGCTCCCCTTATACATCCGTAGACAGAGTTAGAATTTATGAATCGTGTTTATATTGGACTGGCACAAGTGATAAACAAGGACAAATTGAAGATATTCTGTTTGAATCTACAAGAGATTTTTGTACTCTAACTGAATTTTGCTGGGGGATTGTGTGTAGTTTTTCCATTTTTGTATAAATTGCGATAAAGAGTGGAAAATGCCCCTTCTTATGTTGGTAATTTTGAATTTCTCATAAAATATTTTCTTGAATAGCTCGAAGTAAAAATTTAACCTGCCCCCTGCACTTTCATATGTCCCAGAGATCAACGATGAATTGATCTATGTAACAAACTTTGCATTTTTTTCTCAATAAATATGCATAATATTTTTCACTTGTAAGAAGCTGGTTTTTGTGAAAGAATTAGGAATATCATAAATCTATGTCACGTGATCAACATTTTCATGTGACATCACAAAAATGCTTGAAAGTTATTTACACAAACATGTTTCAACTATTATCTCTGTTGACTGTAATTAAAAACAAGGAATATATATTAAAATTTAATTCTGAGCTCAAAATAAAATATATATTTTTTAGGCATTTTAAATCGGACAGCCTTATGTTTGCGCAACTGACAAAGTTTGATGATTAAACAAGCCAATAAGTATAAGATATAATTAAATATAGCCATAAAAGTCAAAAGTAGAGCACAAAATTTTTGGTCGACGTTTTGAAAATCCCAAGGTGCCTAAACTGACAAAGTTTGATGATTCTAAGCTAATACGTACCTAAAATATTCAAAAGTAGGTCACCGTGACCTATTTTTTGAGAGTATGCCAGGGATCCTAAAAAAGATGCCTCAACTGACAAAGTTTGATGATTCTTAGCCAATAATGCCTGAGATATTTAAAGTCGCTTGGTCCGATTCTAATCGCTAAAAATATATATTCGTTTTTCTTCTTGAAAAATAATTGTCCATAAATTGTTTAAAAATTAGACATAGTCAAATTATAGGACCCAAAGTAATTTTTCTTTTCAAAGATATCAAAATTCAAAAGTTAAAAAAATAATTTTTGTTAGGTCACACAAAAAATAATCCTATGTTGATCATTGTTGATATCGCGTGAAATCACCTTCGAAAAATTAAATTTATCGCTTACATGTTTATCTCATGAAGAACGAACCCGATCATTTTTTTTTCCACAACAAAGCTAAATCCACATAAATTACCTGTACACGGACACTAGTTTAGCTCCTTTAAAAAATCATTTAAAATGTCTGATTTTCCTTGGAATTCTTTAAATATGCATATGAATATAAAAATTTTACTATGGATTATATTCAATTAATTTTTAATTTTGAAAAGATTATTATGACAGGCTTTACTAATAGAGAAAAACATGAGAGGCCCAAGGGCCACTCGCTCACCTGACAAGCCTCATCTCTGAAAACTTGTCTTCATGATTTCCCCCTTGTTACACATAATTTGCATCCCCACCCTACCCCACTGATCATAATTTAGACATTTTGTAATCTACCCCATGATCCTTCCATGGGCACATATTTTCAGATTTTTTGGCCCAGTGGTTCCTGAGAAGATTTTAAATGAGGCGTAGGGGTGGCAGCCATTCATTTAAGTTTGACAATTTCCTTTAAAAAGGAGAGCTCCATATAAAGAGATACAAAATGATAAAATTTTAAAACTAACATATATGAATTTTTTTTGCCAAATGATAGTTGACAGCTAAATATACCGTAGAAAAAAATAAGTTAAATCTGGTGGTTAATTTGGGATTAAATCTGCGCGTTTCAACCCACCGCCTCCTTAAAGATTTTTCCTAATAATATAGGTTTAATTGCCAAGATTTTTGTTAAACAAAAAATTGTCTAAATATTACTTGCTTCAGTAATTGTACGTATTGGATTTTTTTACATTATACCTGTAAAGCTCCAACGCCAAGTCTTTTATACCTACATAAACTCGGCCTTTGTAAAATGACCCATTTATGGACTCTGGTATATCAAGAAGCATCGTCACACTTGTAATTATACTAAACTTGGTAAAGTCGTGATCGGACACTGCAAAAATCTTCTCCTGGCCAACGATGACTTTTTACCACGGTCCACTGCCGCAACTGGATGGTTAGGTTCGCCTACTTTACAATGATGTTTGTCATCAATACATACAAATGTTGTAAACTCTCTAAATTTAACGGCCAATTTTTATAAGTATCTGAACGAAGCTGACGCATAATGCATATCCATGTGCTCTTTTCGCAACTGGCGACTTTGGACTTGAAATTTAACTTAGTTTACCTGTGTACTGTAATGATGAGTATGATGTTGCATTCTTAGGAGCAAACTGAAATCTCAACCACTGCTCACTTGGAATAGGTGTATAAGGTGGGCAAGTCGAGGCAACTTGTCTACGCAAATCTGGAATTGATATTGCTGTTGCCAGGTGTGTGAAAATGTCATGTCGCCGATCTCAGCAACTGACTAAATGTACTCTTTGGCTTTCTCAAAGAAAATACCATATTTTGAAGGCTGTCCCTGGTTGTACTCACGCAAGTCTTGAATAATGTCTGGATCTTGCTGATCAAATGCTTGTTGGACTAGTTCATCTGCTTCTTTTTCTTTTAGGGTTGTGGGAACACTGTTGTCACCTGTCAAAGACTTGTACACATTTCTTGCATGCATTGGCTTCAAAAAGCATATCAGGGAAGTTCTGTCTATAATAGCCCGTCGCATTGATCTGGTGTGGAAAGTGGGCAAGTCTTTCTGAATTCGCTGAATCACCTCTTGATTTTTTTTATATCCTGTCCTCTTCAGTCTGATTTACTGGGATTTTCCACAAAAAGTTGTGTGTTCCAAGGCTATTACCAGCTGCAACTCAATAAAGTATGCACTTGTGGACAATGACATGGTCAATATAATACCTTTTATTACGAGAGTCAACTAGGAAAAACTCGTCTAAACATATTGGCTCAAACTCTTTCATGGGGTCTAAATGACTAGTCAATGATTTATAACGTGAAAAATATGTGGGCT